CTTCAGGGGGAGTTAGGAAAAAGTGAGCCAAGATGGGGAGTAGTCACTGCTCTTCTGTTCTCACAGGAAGCATGGGTGTGAAGCTGCTTGAGTCCCGACTTTGTCTCCTGCTGCTGCTGGGACTTGTCATGGTGGTTGCCTCATTGCAGATCCCTGCCCATTTAACCCCGTCCCAGTGGTTTGAAATCCAGCATGTAATTATGACCAGCCCCCGATGCACTGCTGCGATGAGGAGTGTTAACCGGCATACAGGACGGTGCAAGAACTTAAACAGTTTTCTTCATACAAGCTTTGCTGCTGTCGTTGGTGTGTGTGGCAGTATGAATGTTACCTGCAGGAACAGGACACATTCAAATTGTCATAATAGTTCAGCTCAGGTATCCTTAACATTCTGTAACCTCACAGGTCCAGGAGTAAATTATACACAATGCCAATACCAAACGACACAGGCAAGAAAGTTCTACAGAGTTGCTTGTGACTATAGAACTCCTCGGGACAATCGTACCTATCCAGTGGTTCCGGTTCACTTGGATGGGATATTTTAGGTCTAGTACCAGCACTTTGTGTCTTCGCTCTCTATCTGCTAGTTCCATGGTCGTAGTAGTGAAGATCCAGTTCCTCTGTCTGCGCTGCCACGAGCACCTGTCCTTGTGAAACCTGTCCCTGACTCCCTTCAAATGTAGCTGAACAGATATCTTTTCTACTCAATAAACACCTTTGCATACTCATGTGGATCTATGCATATCTGCGCGCGTGTGCGTGAGTGTGTGTGTGTGTGTGTGTGTGTGTGTGTGTGTGTATGTGTGCGCGCACGTGTGCGCGTGCTGAGACAGGTCCTCATGCTCCCATAACAAGCTCTCTACCAATTGAGCCATCTACCCAGTCCCTGGGGAACAAATTTGAGTATGAGCAGAGATGGACATTTTCCCAGAAAGTTCCTACAGTGCTTCTTCCCTGAAGTTCATCTGTGGGAAAGAAGTGACTGGTAGAGGGGACCAGAGAAGTGGAATTTCTCCATGAGGCTGTTCCATACCTCTCCCCTGCATAGCTGTCCTCGGTGGTGAATGACTGTGAGATCATTCAACACAAACCAGGAAGGCACAGATGCCAAGATAAGGAAACTGGAATCCACACAGAAAGGAGATGAATAATAAGAGGTCCAGCCCTGACTCCTGAGTACAGAACTGTGTCAGGAATGAGTGAAAATCAGGAAAGGGCTATCTCTTGAAAGACATGGGCAAACACATCATCAGCTGATGTGACAGTGTGAGTCTTCACGCAGTGTCTGGTGCAGAATGCAGCAGAGGTGTGACATCATCAGGTCTGTACCTCTCTCTCTCAGTCTGGATCCCCAGCTTTGCCTTTGCTCCTCCTTTGTGGGGCCCCAGATGCGGCCCATGGCCTCTCCCCACCACTGGACAGTGGCGGCACTTCTGGCTCTCAGCGGATAATTCCCTGCAGGGCTGCAGGGAACTATTCCTCTGGGGTAGCAAACACAGCTTCTGCTCTCCGGGTTGGTGTGTGGAATCTGCACTTTACACCGGAATGCTAAATTGGGGAGTTGCAGGGGTTGACATAATCCACTGACTTTAGGTAAAATTGGGACAGCAGGAGGTCGTCTCATCTTCTGACTGACACAAAACTGAAACCACATCCTGTGGAGAAAGCTGCGAGCCTGTCTCGCCTTTTACCACAGCCTATCTCTTCCCATTCAGGAACACAGTGTCTCTCACAACAGAAGGCACAACGGTCACCCACCTGCCCACCCCGTCCGTGTGTCCATGTGTCCGTGTGTACGCGCGCGCACGCGTGCGCATCCACCCTGCTGTCGCTTCTCCATCCACCTGTTCCTTCCATTCCCCGACGATCACGCGCTGAGCAATTACTGTGTTCTCAGCACAGCTCCACAGCAGTGACGGGGCAAAATAAACTCAAGCAAGTTCCTGCTCTTCTGACACACGGTGTCAGGATAAAAAGGAATGTAAAAATTGGTGTTCAGTGTCAAGAGGACAATTACACAGAGCAGTACAATGTCGAGGTTCTGGATACATCATAGAAAAGACAGTCCAGGGCATAAATAAGAAGGTCCCAAACAAGTAAAGGAAATCTATACTAAATAAGAACCATGCAATCCTGTTACATACCACAGGGAGGGGATGGAGAGAGACGGAGACCGAGAGATCAAATGTCCTTAAAAAATAAAATAAGTAAATAGATAGACAGGTAAATAAATAAAACAAGCTCAAAGAGCCTGTCAGTGGTGGCGCACACCTTTAATCCCAGCACTCAGGAAGTGGAGACAGGAAGTGATAAGGTGGGGTGTAGACAGGATCTCAGCCTTTGGGGTGGATTCAGGAAGGAGGGGGAAGAAGCAACTGGCAGCTGCTCCTGGTCTCTGATCTTCCAGGTCTTTATCCCGATATCTGACTCCCGATTTTTGATTGATTAAGATTAGATTAATGTACCTGGTAGTGGTGGTGGTGGCCGCGGCGGCGGCGGCGGCGGCGGTGGCGCACACCTTTAATCCCAGCACTCAGGAGGCAGAGTCAGGGGAATCTTTGTGAGTTCAAGTCCAGTCTGGTCTACAAAGTAAGATCCAGGACAGGCTCCAAAGCTACACAGAGAAATCCTGTCTCGAAAAACAAAAACAAAAACAAAACAAAACAAACAAACAAAAAACCCCCCAAAACAAAACAAAACAAAACAAAAACTTAGATTAATGCTTCAATAGACCTTGCCAGGAAGGGACCATATACCTTTCACCCTGTTCTCTCCATGGGCTGGAGGAAGGTTCTATTTCAAATCCAGGTTTTTTGTTATTATTTTTTTTTTGTTTTTTTTTTTTTTTGTTTTTTGTTTTTTTTTTGGTTAACCACTTAGTAGTCTAAGAGTGTCACCACTTTTATTGATGAATTCACAAGTTGAGGATACAAGGACCAAAGCTGAAGCTGCAATCCAAAGTGTGAAGATGGAAGCCAATGGGGCTATTATTCCCCATAGCCAGCTCCTCATGGACCCAAAGAGAGAGCCTGGCCACGACTTTTTTTTTTTTTTTTTAATTTTTCGAGACAGGGTTTCTCTGTGTAGCTTTGTGCCTTTCCTAGATCTCGCTCTCTAGACCAAGTTGGCCTCGAACTCACAGAGATCCACCTGCCTCTGCCTCCTGAGTGCTGGGATTAAAGGCGTGTTCCACCACTGCCCGGCTGACTCTTGATAGATATTGTAAATAAGGTTTAAAAAAGATTTCAATGTACTTTAATGATCCTTGCTAATTTTATAAAACTTCCTTCAAATTTACATGAATTGCTAATCCAAAAGCAGCAAGTTTAATTAAGCCTCACAGAAATGCCCAGGCAGCCAAGACATCCAAGGCCCTGCAATATCATAAGACCATTTCTGTGAGAGTCCAGCCTTGCTTGCTGTGCCTAAGAGCAACAGCAGTGTTCTCCATGATTGCTGTAGAGCCAAGGACAGGTTTTGCATGGACCTTTCTAGTGTTGAAAATCCTATAGGCGAGAATAGACTTCTCAGTGTATCCTCCCAAGTTCTGTTCATCTTAGCCCTGAGTAGTCAATATTCAGGATGCTGAGCTCAAGCATGTTTGCTCACCCTGGGTCACACCTCTCTTGTATCTACAAGGAGGGTGTGAAGAGGGAGATCTTAAAGAAAGACTCCACGTTGGCAATATACCGAAAAATTTGGAAATTCTCTTTGGGAAGGTGTGCAACAGGCCGTTAGATCTAGGACCTAGACCTTAGCACAACTGATACCATGATCAAAGTACCATTCAGGCCTTGAAATCCAGCACATAGGCAGCAACACTCACCAAAATGAGAACAAAGACCTAATGGATCAAAGGCCATAATTCTGGGAAGGTCCATACATATATTAACCTTGTTGGGGCTTCTGCAGTTTTTCTTCAGCCTGAGTTCTTGCCAACTGAGGTGTGTAAACACAGGATGTAATTTTATATTAAAAAGCTCACCCACAGAAAAAGTCAAGACTGAATTCAGGTCCCAACACTCAGTGTTTATTAGCCAGAAGGCTAATAAAGACTTTCTATTGCCTTGAACCCATATTTGAGTGGCCTTCTCTGGTGAATTCCTCACAACAGATGGGCACAAAAATACATCCACTTCCCATTCTTGGACAGGACAGAAAGTATTCTTGTTCCACATAAGAAGTATTCAGTGTGCTCTAACCTTGCAGTAATAGGTGGTCCCTGACCCCAAATGTATTTCAAAGATACAGATATAAAAAGGTTTGAGGTGAGATGCTGGATTCCATGTTCCCCAACGCCCAAAAGAAGAGGTATAGTCTCTAAAGAAATAATGGTCCTTACTCACTGGAGGGGAAGTGATGCTCCTGTGGGGACCTTGGCAGGCCAGGTTCTGAATGACACTGGTGAAATGTGAATTGTGGGATGTGTCTTGGGTAGCCTTTGCTGTGATGGCATGGGAACAAAGGCTGCTATTCTGAGACAGGAGTGCACGGGCCTTTCCCCAGCATGTCAGTCAATAAGGCAGATTCAGAATGGTTACTCAGAGATCAGTTTTGCCCCAGGATCCAGGAAGTTCAGATAAGAAGACTCATAGCCTGAGTCCTCATAGTCTCTGGTTCCCCCTGTGGTCCTCATTTTTCCTTTCCATACAAATTGCACAGGGAGACACTGAGCATCCCTATAAATGCACAGCTTCCAACAAAATGATAAAAACAAAACCTCACCCCATGCACCTCCCCCACCAAGAAATTCATGTGGCTTTCTAGCTCAGTCACATCCTGAAGGCTCAACCTTCCAATTTGAATATTTTAATCTTAGGCTATTTCTCCTCACTGTTGATGGTTTTCTTGTGTGGGCCAAATCCTGCATACTGACTGGGAGCCTCTAAAGGATGGATACACCATATTTTTAGCTTAGGACAAAGCCAGTAATCAGAGAAATTGGCAAGATCAGCCACCTTGATTAAAATAGGAGCCAGAGATATCTTATCCTGTACAGAACAGAGAAAAAATAATAAAAGCAGGAGAATCAACATTAAAGGTTTTCCTTTATTTGGGTTAGAGAAGTTATTCCATTTTGACAGGATCAAGCAAGCCCTCATGCACTAATTTAGGATCCTTTGCTGTTTTGTTCTGTTTTAAAGGTACACATGTATAGTGTTGTGGAGTGCACACACGTCACGGTCTGTGAGTATGGAGGTAAGGGGACAAGGTGGTTCCCTCCTCCCAGCATATGGGTTCTGGAGCTCAAACTGAGGTCATCAGGCTCCGTAGCAGGGCCTTTATTCGCTGAGCCGTCTCACTGGACCTCTCTCTGTTCACTGAAGAGAAGTTTGAGAGCTCTCATCGGGTCACAGGTAGGTGTTTTCCTCCCTGACTTCAGGTGGGTTCTCGGGCTTGGGAGATCTGGTTTGTTCTTGAAACTATAACCCAGCTGTTAACATCCAGCAGTCTGACAGCCATTGGGGTTCTCGGGACCACCTGGAAAGGTCCCTTCCACAGAGCAGTCAACTGATCTGTGGGTATGACCAGTAGAATCCAGCTCCCTCCAGACTGGGTGTGTACAGCATTGTTCCCTTATTCCTGTAGTGCTCAGTGGACCTGACCCCAGTTCATAGAGTGCTGTACTGAGTTATCTGATTGGCCTCAGAGCCTAACACCAGATCCCATGGAAGGAAAAGCCTCCTGTACATCAACAGGGCTGTACTTGGTGTCAGTG